ATATAATAATATATATTTTTATAAAAGGTATTTAAATTTTTAACTATTTTTTCTCATTAATTTTAGATTTTAAGAAAAAAAATTAGCAAGCACCCATGTAATACACGGGAGTTGTACTAGTTGTAAATTATTTACGGATGATGCAATTGTAATCTTATTTTGTAATATGTGCTTTGGTTTAAAGTATAAAGAAGGCATCTGTTGGAATGTCACTTGTGAGTTGTCCCACATTGATTTGATAGGGTAAATAGACCTAACTTATAAGCCTAGTGGGCTACTCCTCCTACTACCAATTGGTTTTGGGATGGAACCCCACTTGGGCTTTATTTGGGTTAACCCTCTTATGGTGCGCTTCACTTGTGTGGGACCGCACTCGATTTGCCCCCGATTTGACAGCATCAGACATTTAGGCATGTTCGTCCCTACTACGTTTGATAATCTTGCATTCATTTTTTCATTATTGGTGGTCACATGCTGAAAATTGTTCAAATTCTTAATTTTATGCTAGAAGGAGATCGGAGAGAATTGAAAGGCAACTCTTTCTCAAATGCACCAAATCGTGCTTAACATCTAATTAAATGGGATTAATTTGTCATTATTTTATTCTTAATCTTCACATGCAATCCCATGTGGGGAAAACATGAATTAGCAAATTAGACCAAATTTTTGTACCTCTTTTCCTTTGGTTTTATTTATGTGACAACCAAGCGCTCCATGTAAGTTTGTAGCATTATGTGATTATTTAATCCACATAAGACATAGCCGAATATTCTTATATCGGACGCTCTTCAACTCGCTATCCCATGTGATTTGCAATATCTCGTCACATTAACACGACACAATATAATTAAGTGAATAAAATTATTTTTAAAAAAAATAAATAAAAATATGATATTTCGCAGTATAATTTAATAAATATATATAATACATAGGCCAATAATTGGCCTTCATATAAAATTAGTGAGCATAGATCAAACATTTGAAATTTTTTTTAAATGCCTTGTGATTATTTCATTATATGTTAAATATGAGTTTAGATCCTGCACACAAAATTATAATATTTTATATCATCATCATATTTATAAATATCAATTAAATATCATTAGCATACAATTAAATCAAGATCCAGCAAACGCATATTTAATTTTAGATTGTGAGTGTTAGAGGTTGATGATTGGAAGTGACTTATTTTGGTTTTGTTTTTATTTATTCGATAGAACGAGTTATTTTGAATAAATTTGATTGATTGGGGGATTAGGTGAGATTTTGAGTTTGTTGTAAAATAATATTTACAATTAATATAATGATAAAAGTTGATTTGATGTAAAAAAATGATTGGATGGATGGGTAGTTAAAATTAATGTGAGTGAGTTAATACTAATAGTAAGCTAGAGTTGATGTACATGTGTGAGGATGGTTGATTGATATTATTTAATTATATCGATAGTATGGAAGAAAGTTGGGTTGTGTTAAGTTTGAGTTATATTTTGTGTTAAAAACTTGTAAATGATTGATTAAGTGAGTTTGAACTAAAGAAAAGAAAAAAAAACTCGATTCCAATCGCATGTACTTCAAAGTTCAAATGCATTTCTAGCTATATAAAGATAGAGCTTAGGGCTGAGCATGAGACTCGGAGAATTTTGAACCGTTCCGAAAACCGAACCAAAAAATAACCGTTGACCGTTTGACTTTATCCGAACCGAACCGAACCGAAGAAATAATTGGTACGGTTCTGGAGATTTTACATATATCCGTACCGAGAACCGAACCGAACCGTCCCGTATTGTACCGAACCGAAGAACCAAAATTAAGAACCGAATTATAACATTAGATGTGTTATTAATATATTATATGTCAATTTTGATTCTATATAATATAGTAATAAATATTAACCTTCACTTAAATTTTATGCTTAGTAATACTTGATCTACAATTAAATTTTATATATTATAAAATAATTGTTTAAAATAATATGAAAGTTTAAAGAATATTTTTTAAGAAAAAAATATTATATTTTATTTGAATTTCAAATTTTCAATATTAGTTGCACAAATTTAGTTATAACTAAAATTTAGGGTTACTTATAAAGTTGATTTCAAATTAAAATCTTTAATGTGAAAAGATACTGATGAATGTTAGTTTTATAAAGCATATAAAAATTAAATAACTAATATTTAGAGTTACTTCTAGAATTGATTTCAAAATAAATCTTCAATATGATCAATTATTGATGAATATTGTTTTTTTAAAGCATATAAAAATTAAAATATAACTAGGTAGTCATTCAAAATAATTTAAAAAAATAAAAAATGTTCGAAGATCCAAACCAAACCATACCGAACCGAACCGTCCCAATAGTCCCGAATACCGAACCGAAAAATAAGAATCTCTGAATCGAACCAAACCGACTTTTTGGTACGGTTCCGGAGATCGAATTTTGGGATCTCCGAAGTTTGGTACGGTTCGGAGATTGCGGTTCTAGAGATTTATCAATCTCCGAACCGTACCGACCCACACTCACCCCTAATAGAGCCCACCAACAATTTAGGATATAAGTATAAAAAATACATCTTAATCTTAAAA